GGACAGAAGCAGCATCTGACTTTACAGCAGCCACGTGAGAGCCACATGAAAATGACTTAAGGACTTAAGTTGATTTTTAATGCAGAAAATTTGAAATATTGCCTGACCCTCCCCAAGAGGCTTTCCTTACAGAGCCCCTGTCTCTGAGAGCGTCTGCCTTGGCGGCTACCGCCTTGCTTTTGCCCAGGGACTGTGAGGTAAGTGGGTGAGGCCAACCACTTTCAAGCAGTGGCCCGTCTGTCATTTTCCTCGCTAAAAACAAAGATGCCCCTTCACCCCGATTCCTGGAGCACACGTAATGTAGAATATTTGTGGTGGGCACAGAGCATGTGCAAGAAATAGACATTTCTTTCATAAGCCAATGAGATTTGAGGTCTTGTCTGCAGCCTGACTGAGACAGCTGATGGATACAGAACCGGCGGGGTAATGTGACTGTCAAGCGAGGCTCACAAGGCATTTTTCCCACAGTCGTCTTTGCTTAGATCATATCAGGAATAGTGGACGAAGGTATGGGCTACATGCATTCAGCGGTCAGATAGCAAGCTGGGTTGTCCAGAGAAAGAGAGACCAGGCTGATGGGGGGATTTAAAACTCAGCCCTATGAAGGAAAATTGAAAGGGACTGAAGATATTTAGGCTGAGAGAGAGAGAGAAGGAACACAGGGAGAAAAGCCTATAGAAAATGGAGTGTACCTTTTCTAGGGGGCCTGAAGGGATTATGAAGGGCTTTTGATGGAAGTATTGGTGGGTAACATTTTTATTAAAGATATACATATTTAAATTTACATTTAAATTATGCTTAATATTAAATATTTCTTAAAAATAAGGAATTTCCTAACCCTTAGAACTGCTCTTGGAGTGTAGTGGGAATGTCCTCACTAGAGGTCTTTAGCCAGACGTGGGTGGCATCCTGGCAGAGATGCTGGGGAGGGAGTTTGTGGGTACTGGTGATGTCGGGCTAGGGGTGGAGTGTGGGATGGGGCCAGTGGTCTTCAAACATTTCTAGTAACCAAATCTTACATGGAATCCCCAGTGTCATTGTTAGGGTCTGAGCTAGCAAAGGTGGGTTTGAGAAAAGATCTCTCCAGATTAGGATAGAAAAAATGTTTATTTTACTTTTTCCAAATGGGAGAAAGGGCCAACACAGTGAAAGACGGGGGTAGTGTCAGCAGAGAGAATCAGGTACTCGGACTTTTCGTGGAGGGGTGAAGAAGATGTATGGCGGTAGCCCTGTGAACAGGGTGCTGCTGCGTCCCCTCGGCTCCTCCTTCTGAGCCGCAGGCTGATGACAGAAGCTGCGGCAGGGTGTCGAAGTCCAGGAGCCAGCTCCCCTACCTGCTTAGAGACAGGCTTCATGGCTGGAGATGCGACTCTGTCCTGGAGATACAGCTGAGGTCTGAAGCTCCCACCTCTGCTGTCCACTCAGGAACTCTTCCTAGAGAGAGATTTACACATCTTTTCCATCTGTCCAGCTCTTTTCAGAAGTTGTAAAAAACAGAATTTCTGCGGAGTGCCTAGGACTGATCTTTAACTGTCCGGAGGAAATTGTGGGATTAGATATTTTCCTGTTTTTTCATTTGTTTGTTTTGGTGAGGCTGCCCTTTCAGCAATAATTATATTTATTAGTCAAAATTGATTTCATATATTCAAATGAATAGCAGGAAGTTTGTTTAAAGTTAACGAGTATCATAATGAGGCTCTCCTGGTGCACATAAAAATTTGAATTAGGGATATTTATTCCTCCGCTATTATCAGGTAGCCTCTATCTGCCAACTTCTTCCCAGTTGTTGGGAGAACACAGCTCAGCGGAGGTTTTTGTTGCTCTCCTGGAACTTCTGCTCACACAGAGTGGGCAGACTTTCAGCAGCTAAACTTCCTGCTATGAGGAAAATAAAATAATGCAGTGAAGCAGAGAGCAGGTGGCTGGGCATAGATGTGTCACAAGGTCAGGGAAGGCCTCCCTTGGAGTCCTCTAGGCAGAGGGACTCACAGGACAAAGGCCAAGGTGGACTGAAGGGGCTTCTCCAAGGAACAGAATGGTGGTTGTGTTCGGCCACTGCAGAATGAGAGAAAGGGAGGCAGGCTGTGGGCAGACCTGGACGATCTTACGAGCTAGTTCTCCAACTATCTATGGTAAAGGATTTCTATAAAAAGTTTCAGCCACATACCCACGTGCAACCCGAGTGCACATGACTTGTTTTCAGTTTGTGCCATCAGTACACGAGTTTGGGGCCACCTCTCCATCCCCAGCTGGACTCTATCCTCTTGAATGACATGACACAGATCATGAGGTTAAATGCTGTGCCAGCGTCAAATTTCTATGAGAGTGTCCCCATGTTGACTGACCCTCAATTTCTGTTCTTACTGTTCTTATCTAGATGCATTTAGACAAAGCCTGACACAGTGTTCACACATCTGTTGACCACACTGTGAGCAGCACGAGCAAAGGCCCTTGACCCTAGGAGCATTGAAGAGCAGATATGGGGAGGCAGGAGACAGAAGAATCAAGGTGGCTTACAGGATGGTGATGCTGTTCACTACGATGACAAAGGCCAGTGGGGGAACACATTTGGGAGGAAAGAGCGAAAGTTCTGCTTTTAAGAAGAGGTGAGAGATGTCAAGACCTTGAAGTGGAGACGACAAGCAGGACGTCCCGAGCCTGAGACTTACAACTGAGGTCAAGGCCAGAGGGGTGGCTGGAGGAGTCATGATAGCCGGCATTTAAAATCTCAGACTAGCTGAGTCATCGGGTGGAAGTGAAAGAAAATAGATCCCAGGTACTGGAAGCATGGGGGCGTCCGACACGAGAGTTGTTGACTTCACCAGTCTTAGTGTCCAAGAAATTTGATTCTGACGTTTGTGGACCCCTAAGGCTTCATGAAACATAAAATAAAATTTCAAAATGTCACCAAGCTGGCATGAGGTAGGAGTCAATAAACCCACGTGGACTGACCCGAGGAGCCCCAAACACCCTCAGACTCGGAGACGTTGGGAGTTTTAGTCTATGTCTCTAACCCATGGTGTAGTGGATTGAATGGGGGCCACCCAAAAGATACGTCCGTGTCCCAGAACCTGTGAATGTCACTCTATTTGGAAAAAAAAAAAAAAAGTCTTCTTTGCAGATGTAATTGAGCTAAGAATCTTGCTCTGAGGTCATCTAGATTACATGAGTAGACCCTAAGTCCAATGACAAGTGTCCTCAGTAGAGACAGACACAGAGGAGAAAGACGGAAGAGGCAAAGGTGGTGTGGCTGTGGCAGAGATTGGAGTGTTGCAACCTCAACCCAAGAAAGCCACAGAAGCCAGAAGAAGCACGGGAGGTTCCAGCTGAGAAGCTCGGGAAGGAGCATGTCCCTGTGCCACACACCGTTCTGCTGGCACCTTCAGCTCACACGTCTGTGCTCCAGAACTTTGACAAAATACATTTCTGTTGTTTTAAACCACCTGTTTTATGGTAATTTGTTCCTGCAGCCCAGGAGGCTGGTCCACACAGTATGTCCTTTGCAGCTGTGTTTTATTCTGACTCAGTAGTTCTCAGCTCTGGCTGCATATTATAACAAACGCTGATGTCTGGGACACTCTCAGGGACTCTGATTCACTGGATCTGGGGCACGGGCTGGTACTGGTGTAGAGGTAGATGTAATAACTGCCATTAAATGAGTCTCAACAACTTACAATACAAAGACACATACAATACGTATATTGCATATATATTGTGCCCAAGTATATTCTTCAAAACTGGCTTAAGCAGTTTCACATCCATATGGTTCTAAGTTCTGTTTCCACCACGAAACAGGCACTAGAAAGCCCTCTCCCCGGTATGAAGGAAGGAACGTACACTTTGACAGGTGTGCCGATGGGCACACTCCCCTTGCTGACCTCTGCAGAAGCACCGGGAAGGCATTGCTTTCTAGACTGAAGTCTGATAATGCTTAACTTTAATATAAATCAAAATAATTGTGGGCATATTGTCCCCTTGCCTTCCATTCAATCAGATAATGACAATTGTGAATTTCTGGTGGCATGCTACTTCGTGTAATTTTTAAAAATCTGCCATCTCAATGTGCTGAGTGAATAGGAGAAGAGTCAATCATTATTCAGAGGAAAGAGGATTCTCAATTGTGGAACAAAGCAATTTTTTGTACACCAGTCCCAAATAAATGCTTCTTTATTTTTGAAGTTGCCTGACCTCGTGTAGTGGACTTCTCGCACACACGTCAGCCAGCAGTCATGAGTGCATTGCAGTCAGCAACGTGAGTGTGTCTGGGAAGGGCCTTTGACCACGAGCTCACTGCATCTATTATTGACTGCCCGGGATGTCTGAGGTCACAAGTTTGGCTGGAACACATGAGCGCAGATGAAGATGTTTTTTGCCCTCCTGAAACAAAGCCAGCAACTTCATCTCCTTCACTGTGCACTTTGGGTCATGTGCTAACGATGAGGATTTCTCTAATACTAATCCCTCTAATGAAGGCTTCTCCCAGCCCTTACACAAACCCCACAGGCCCCGTGGCTTGGCAAGCCGGACGGAATAAAGGCAGCAGGGCGTTTGGCTTTTGAACTGAGTTCAAGGCAATTAAAGTCAGGAGCTGAGGAGGAAAAGAGGAGGGTTAGAAGTACCAGCGTAATCAGTAGTGTGACTGGGTGCTCAGTAAATTAACTCAATTAGACAGAGCCTGATTTAATGGGGGAAGATGGTGAGAAGCGCTCCCCTCATTAAATTTGGTTGTTAGAGGCGCTGCTAATGAAATTAACTTTGTGTTAGTTGTTTGAATCCCATAAAAGAGTGTGTGCATGTGCTTGTACACACGTGCACACGTGTATGTTCTGTGATTTTTGTATTTTTTTAAGAAGAGGATAGATAGGATAGACACAAAAATAAATACTTGAAAAGACTGGGTACTCAAGAGCCGAAGAATAGAAGACAGGAGAAGGGCGGAGAGAGACAAGGAGGAGAGAGAGAGAGAGGGAGAGGGAGAGCGAGCTCCCATTAAGACAGCCATGGGCCCCCTTCACTGGGCGGTTCTGTTCAGCTGCCTGGGCTGCGGGGTCCTGCCTGGAGCCTGGGCTCAGTTCCCTCGGGTCTGCATGACCGTGGACAGCCTGGTGAACAAGGAGTGCTGTCCGCCGCTGGGTGTGGAGGTGGACAATGTCTGTGGCTCTCAGGAGGGCCGGGGACAGTGCACAGAAGTGCAAGCCGACACCAGGCCCTGGAGTGGTCCCTACATCCTGCGAAACCAAGATGACCGTGAGCGGTGGCCAAGAAAATTCTTCAACCGTACCTGCAAGTGCACAGGTGAGGCCCTTGGGGGCAGACCAAGCCCACACTGCAAACCGGGTGGGGAGGGACCTCCTGGAAAAGAGCCCTGTCCAAGGAAGAGATGAGACTTTTGGCCATCCAAATGACAAGCCAATTACGGTTTTGGTGGGATGCATAGTCAGGAGGGTGCTGTTGGATGTATTCTTCACATCGTGAAGAGCATCTACTTACAAAAACTAAACAAATATTTCATGGGCCAAGCCTGGTTATATGAACGCATGCCAACATACATAGGCTTGTTTGATGGAAGGGGAAGTTAAAGAGCTTGAGAATTAGCTTTGAAACTCAAAGCAAGTCCTTTCAAGATGGATTTGGTGCCTCCCCTGAAATGGGTTTGCACTTGTTGAAGTGAGGGTGGGAGGCTTGGCATTTAGAAGGCCAGAGTTGAAGGCAGGCGCTCTGTGGCCCTGGTCTCAGCATTTCTAAAGGTTTGAACAGATCTCAAGCCGGGTGCATCTTTCTCATTAAAACCATGACGGCCTTGGAACTGTGCCGAAGTTGGAGAGATGCAAGACAACAGAGCTTTCTCAGGGGCTGGGAAGGGAGGGTTGTTCTTAGATCACAGCTGCTGTCTTTCTTACTTACTCCTACCTGAATCAGAACCATTACAAAATTGCCCAATATCCCTCCCTCTTGTAGATGTGGGACTCTCTCATCACCTGTTTCTTTAGTCTCTGTGCATTTCATCTTCCTCTGGCTCTTCTGTGCCTTCTCAAATCCCATTTCCCCCCAGCTTTCAGCTGCCAGGTACAGCAGGGATAAACTCGCAAAGGCTGTCCCTGCATTTGAAATACAAAAACCATACGTGGCAACTTCTGCAGAGTCCTTGGACACTTCCTACGGTGGCCAGCTGCAGGAGACTTTTTCCTTTTCAAAATCTTTTTACTTCTGTTCTTATGTGATGCTGGAACATGGGCAAATTCATTGAGCTATGCTTGTGCCTGGAAAGCTCATACTGAGGGAACATACAAAGGCCTGGGATATTGATGAGGGAAGGACATTAGATTTATTTCTTCAACTTTAAGAATTCTGACTTTATAATCACTCTGTAGTCATGTTTTTAATTCTGTGATTTAAAGGAATTCTTAGGTCTTAGGTTTGCCATGGGTGTTAGATTAGGAAGAATTTTAATAACAAATTGAAAATTTGCTTTTATAGACATCCTCTCCTAAATTCTCATGATTTCTCAGTCTTGGGAGGAGCAGGAGGTGTCCTGTTACCTGTGTGACTGGAAACCACACTGACACAGTAAATTCTTTGTCCACCCCCCCCCAAAGACTTCTAGAACAGTTATTTCTACGTCAATCCATGATAAAGTGCCACAACTTTCAAACTCTGGAAATCTCCATCTTATAGAATCCAAGGGCAGATTTTAGGAAATAAGATGTAATTGTTAACTCTTTTTGTCACTGTCCTCTTTATATTTTTGACCTGGTTAGCAAGTTTTTAAAATGTTGGGGTAGAAAAAGTAAAGAATGGTAGTGGGGAAGTAACTGCTATTTTCCTTTGCTGAAGAAACATTTATAAATACTTCTCTGGAAAAGATAGGAACTTAAGATCATAGACAGCTACTTTCAAAACATAAAAAGAGATCCCTGCTCTAAGAAGGCAGGGGGCCAGAAATAGGCCCATCCTCTAAGTCCAGGCTGTAAGGAAATCACACATTCAATGGCCAGTGCAAGGAAGCAGGGCTTCCTCAAGTCACATGGTCCTCATCTGCAGCCATTGCCAAGGCCACGATCCCCCGTGGATCCCACTCCCAGGCTGCGGTTCACTTTCTCTCCATGATTTTCTGATCTCGGGCCTCCCAAAGATCCTCCTTTCTGGTAGCTGTCTCTTTGGAGATTATTTTGCCAGTGGAGTGATCAAAACACTCCTGGGTCATCTGAAATTTCTTTTCTTTTCTTTTTTTGAGATGGAGCCTCAAGCTGTCCCCCTGGGTGGAGTGCTATGGCATCATAGCTCACAGCAACCTCCAACTCCCGGGCTCAAGCGAGTCTCCTGCCTCAGCCTCCCAA